CACACGGTTCTGGCAAAACCGACGTGTGCTTGATGGGCTTCCTCCGGTCTTGGCAAAACCGGTGGACTCGTCGCCGACGGCACCCTCTGACATCCGCAAGGTGCATCGTCCACATCTGCAGCTCCGTCATAGCATATTTTTTTACGCCTTCGACTTTGTGCGGCTTCATCATCCACGACGACAACACCATCGACCACGACTACCTCGACCACGGCTACATCATCATGATTGGCTACCTCCACATTAATGGTTGCATCTACAGCAACTCATCGGGGACAACTCCAGTCAACTGCGTCCGCGTCATCACTAGCGTCCACGCCACTCCCGCTGTAACTGCGGGAGGGAAGAGAGGAGAGACAAGGAAGGCACCAAAAGGAGACGCAGTCACCGCCCTAGGTGTCGACCCATCAGAGACGCAATTGATGATGACGTAGTGGAGAAGACGACGAAAGCGCAAGACTACAAATTCAGTCGCAAACGTCCGCTTCATTCCCGCTACGACTGAGGCGGAATGTTAGAATATAATTGTGTTTAAGATAGAGGTGGGAGTTAGAGATAGAATAGGTTTAACATGTAGGACTTGCCCACTACTCCAAGTCTCTCTCCCTCACAATGTATTCTATATATACCCCACATGAGGGTCGGATCAATACAACAGAAACAACACAATATTCATCCATCGTACAATTTTCTACAACCTCGTCTCTGGTGGCCTTAGGCCTTGTACAATGCAAGGTGCTTAGGAAAACAAGCCAGGCTTTCCTTAAGCACCAGTGCTTATTTGTACAGGGTTGATGCTTAATTAGACGTCTCTTCTGTAGAAATAGGCACCGATGCTTCAGAAAAACCCGGTTTATTTTTCTAAGCACCTTCCTAAAAACCTAGCATTGTACAAGGCCTTAGGGCCATGGCGGCGCGGTGGATCCCGGCCCTTGCCGGCAAGAGGGCTCTATTTTTAGATATCCCTTTGTTTTTTGATAGGGTTTGTGTCCTGTTCAGGAAGACGAGACATCGGTGGCTCCCTGAAGATGGAATTAAGGTTCTACCCGTCTAGCCTCTGTCCGATGGTGTGTCTAGCATCGTCGGTGGGCGTTTGGAGATATGTCTCTGGTAGATATGTCCTTGGCCTATTTGCTCGGATCTAATCGTAGTTCATCTACGTTGGTGTGTCTTCCGGTTGGAATCTTTCGATCTACACTACGGTTGTTGTTCTGCTACGCTGGTCCTACGAGGCCTTAGCACGACGACTTCCCGACTGTCTGCTACAACAAATTTTGCCCGACTCGGGCAAAGGAAGGGCGATGATGGTGATGCGCATTCGGCTCGCTTCAGTGGTTATAGTCATCGCTAGGTGGTCTACGAAATAGAACGGAAGTTTCCGCAAAAAACTTGATGAAGAGAAAGCAACTAATATATTGTGAATATTTCCTAAGGACGAATCGAAATTGATGGTTTATCATTTTTTATTTTCATGATTTATCAATCTAAATTAAATACTTGGTTTAATTTTAAAATATGTATGGATTTCTTTTGCTTCTAACATTTTTTTATTTGTATTAGTCAAGATGTAACTTGGAATGTCTTCACGATTTTTAACATGCTATTAGTCAGGAAAAGAATTATATGAGACCAGGTCTCACGAGCTAGCATGTGAGACCCATCCTGATGGATGACACGTGGCATTTACAAATCATAAAGCATCTACCTCACCCCTCACTTGAAATCAAGGGGGGGGGGGAGATTAGATGCTTTACGATTTGTGAATGCCACATGTTATCCATCAGGGTGGGTCTCACCTGCTAGCCCATGAGACCTGATCTCATATAATTTTTTTTCCTATTAGTCAAACGTGCATTGCATGCTTACTAATTAAGTAAAATGAACACATATCCTTACAAACTCACCCAGGCAGGACAATAAAATTACATTCCAATTCTTGAGGGAGCTTAAGTTTTCTTCCTCCTACATCCATCGGTGACGCGCCGTGTGCATAGCTAGATGCTGCCTCTCGAACTCCGCCTCGGGCGAGCAAACTTTTTTTACTCGGGAACTTGTAGACTAGGAGAAGAAAATGCCGAGAAGAGCTTATAGAAACTCCAAAGACCACGAGTTTCGACTGAATCTAGACGGAATCATCGAAAACCTAAACTGACCGGATCACAAAAGACCCACCGCAGACACAGTTCCATACGCCCTTCACGCGTTTCACCCGTGGGTAGTTAGAGCAACTCCAATGGGGCGACCCATTTCGTCCGCGGCCGTCCGTTTGGGTCGGCGGGGACAAAAAAGTCGGCCCAACGCGCCGACCCAAACGGACGCACGTCTGCTTTCGTCCGCCTGCCGACCCATTCCTGGCCCATTTTTTAGGTTGATTTGCGTCGGCGTGGACACAAGATGGACGCGCGCGCGCTCGCCCTCTTTTCTCACCGGGCCCGCTGGTCGGTGGCACATTGGATTCACACACTCGCCCGCCTGCTACGTCGCCGATGCCGCTGGCCATTTTTTCAGATTAAAATGGATACATAGATAGTTCTAGCGTACACAGATAAAAGAAAAAGACCACTACTCGTCGCTTTCTGACTCCGACTCGGTAATGTCCTCCTCCGACGTTTGAAGGTAGGCGTCAGCAAGCTGCTCGGCTTCAAAGTCCCAACCCGAGTTTCTTGTAGCTTCAGTTTCAATTGAGCTGCCTGCTTCCGCGAACGCTTGTCCTCCCGATAGGTGGCTCACTCCCTCCTCCTCGCGTCCCTCTCCGATCTCAATTGCTTATAGAACTAGCGCTCGTAGACGATGTCCTGTGGGTAGTCTCCTCGCCACAGCACCAAGGCTTCCACGTCCTTCTCTGCGATGGCGAGGCGACGCTGCCGCCTCCGATGGACACGACGATCCTCGTCAGTGAAAAGCCGCGGGAGAGGCGCCAGATCCTGCGCCCGCTGGCTCGACACGTTGGGAAAATTCATATCCCGACGAGGCCTCAGGAGGCGCCACGCCTCCGCGTCGTGCGCGCGGGCCGTCTCCTCTGCGGTGTTGAAGGTGCCGAGGACGAGACGTTTCTCGCGAAACCAGATCTCGGCGGAGAAGGCGCTGGAGCGGCGCTCGCGGACTCCACGAAAATCCGAAGCGCGTAGGCGGCGGATCGACATGGTGGCGCAGAGGCGGCGAGAGTGGGCGGCCGACAGAGTGTGGAGGGAGCGCCTTCTTTTATAGCGAGTGCCGGCCGCGGCGTGCGCGCGAACCTTTCCCGCGCGCTGGAGCGCCAAAACCAGCGCGCGCGAACCTTTCCCGTGTGCTGGAGCGTCAAAATCAGGGCGACGGCACGATGTTAAATGCGCGCGGTCATGAAAATGGGTCGGCCCGTTGGGCGCACTGCCGACCCAAAAATAAAAGAGGGCGGACGGCGGGCGGGCGGCCGACCCAAACAGACAAAAAGCGGACAAAAACACCGTCCGTTTGGGTCGGCCCGTTGGAGTTGCTCTTACGGTCGAATGCGAAGTCCCGCCTTAACCTAAGGAGAGCCGAGGCTCGGCTTGGGAGGCATGGAGGTGGGGTGGTGGTTTGGTTGCTGTATGCTGCGGCAGAGGTGAGAGACGATCGGAGAACTTGTGCGTGCAGGAGGAGGACTTAGGCTGTGTTTGGTTGAGCTATAGATTCTGTAAAAGCTGCTGTGAGCTGTGAGCTGTGAAAAAGCTACTGTGAACTTTTAGCCGTGGAAAAGCTGGAAGCTGTTTGGCTAAAAGGGCTGTTTAGCTGAAACGGCTGTGAAACACAATGAAGAGGTACGACTTACCAGTGGCATTGATGGGTAAATACTACTCGGTTTTAGGGGACAACAAAAAATGGTTGGTTTAGAAGCTGAGAAGCTGAAAAGTTGGGGTATCCCAGCTTCAAAATTTACACTACAGAGAAGCTGCAGATTCTCAAAAGCTGCTTTGTAAATTTACCCATTTGGTTCAGCTTATAGCTTTTGGACCCAAAAGTTGAAAGCTGAAGTTGAACCAAACACAGCCTTAGCATATACTACTCCGGTAACCTTTTGGTGCTGCTCCCATATATAGGCCGGACGACCTGCTGTAGTTGTAGACCGACGAGCCTGCGCATCCTTTTCTCCTGGCGTATACCGTTTTCCCAAGGGCACAAGACTCAATCAGATTCCAGTTGTGTGGATATAAAACGGGGTCAAGAGGGTACAAGGACAACGTCTTATTCAAGAGTCTGACCAGACACGTACAAGGACAGATTAGAAGAGCCTTTTGCTGGCTCCGCCAACACCACTTGCACAACACAACACGAAATGACTCAAGACTCGGTATGCTGTACATTTACTCGAACTGCAGAAAAACATATGAAGCCAGCAACATTTTGGACTTGTTCTTTATCTCTTCCAGACTTGCACGTTGATGGTTTTTGCTTCTTATAGAAAAGGTTGACTTACTATACGTCTGCACAATAGACTGTACACGGATGTAACCGAACAAAAGGAATACTGCGTTTTACAAATGAAGCGAATATCACATAAAGTTGAGCTGCACACAAGGCACCACTACTAAGATTGACATGACAAGAAGCATTTTCTTTCAGAAACAGCAGAAAAGGCAACATCAAGTTTTCTGCAGTCATCAGCCATGCAACTCAGATCAATAACATCACACATCCATGAAAAAAAAAAGTGTCAATGGCGATTTTGAGCCATGTGCATGTATGTCAAATGCAGTGTAATCTTCCCCCACACGAAATATGGCATCGCATGGGAAGATAGCGGTGTGTTTCTTTTGGTTCACCGGCAGCAGAACATAGTTCAAAACCAACACTACAGGATTCTACTGTGTGAAAAAGACAAGGGCAGCAAACACACATGCTATGTTCATTCCAACTAAACCAGAGTGAGCGAATATAGATCCAAGGGGAAGCAATGTTTGCCTGCCATGTGATATGCCAATGAGTGATTCCATGTAATTTCACCTGTAGTGGGACTTGAAACAATCGGATGACTCGCATCGGCCTTAGTTCTGGTAACTGACACGCATCTGATCAGGCCTTATGCCACTCTCTTCTAGCAAAAACTGTTTCAACCCAAGTAGCAGCAGCTCATTTCCCTTCGAACATATGATTTCGACAATCTCAAGCTGTTCACATGTAAACGATCTATCCTCCAGCTCGCCGATGACTGCAGATACAACCTCGTTGTGATATCGTGGCTGGCAATTAAAAGAGAACAGTTTTATCTTTACTGTGCATGCTCAAACTTTCATGGAAGGATAAATGCAATGGAGAAGACGGTATATACCTCGTTTAGTTTAAGAGTTAGCTTCTTCAGATTAGGTGAGTTCTGAAGGAAGACTATCATGGCATATAAGTCCGCATGCATGCACCACCTATCAAGAGTCAGGTTTGTAAGATTGTTGAATGTTGGGCACCATCCGTGATTATTTTTCACCTCCAGCTGCAAATGATTCAAATGTTAAGACACAACATAAACCCATGCCGTATTCTTCAATTTCTTTTTTCTGCTTCAACCAAACTTGCCAAAAATATAAGGAGGGAGTTAACATAATGTGATTACGTTTCTGATTGGTTGCCGTTGAAAATCTTAGAACTATAGCTTTGGAGCAAATTGGATATGAAAGAAAAAAAAAATCACAGCACAAACAGAGATCATCTTAACAAAATCACCATATTAGACAATGATATACTTATTTTTGTTCATCGATAGAGCCATGGAGCACATGTGATTAAAACATCATGGTTGCTTCACATGATAATCTGTTGCATTGGTCCAATCTGTTTGTAGGAGTTAGCAATAATGGTTTCAGCAATTGCTGAGGCCCTTCACATAAGTATATGCTGAAGCTACATTATAACTCAGTTATTGTACTAGTTTTATATTATGAGAAAACTAAGATACTCTGGTCAACAATTTGATGAATCAACAAATGAGCATACGAAATGGAATGAGTGGAGACCAGACAGCACTGGTCATCCTATCAAGAGGTTTGATTTGCACTTATGCTATGTAATGAATCATCTAGTATAACTTGGAAGGGCTAAGGCAGAAGAAGAAGAAAATATGCTTAGGTTGCAGATTTTGGTATGGATAAATATCTCAAGATCAATGTAATCTACAAAAAACCAGAAGCATACCTGTCTATCCCCATAATAGAAATCCAAACTTCTAACACCAGAGAGGCCCCCGAGAAACTGCCTGATACCATCAGCATCACAAGTTGTGATATCTCCTTCTGAAAGCAATACTGATGCAGTCTCTAGTGATAACATGTTCTTTAGTATAGGTAGCCTGGCCCCGGAAGGACACTCTTGGACGGACAGAGAAATGAGGCTTGGAGCAGAAATAGAGACTTGGGCATCGTGCTCAAATGAGAATGAGAACCCGATAGTATCAGAGAGGATCAAAACCTTGAGTGTGTCAGAGAAAATGTCAAGGTCCTCAATGTCGCAGATTGATAGGAAGAGATATTCCAATGCTGGGCAGCCTTTTCGGAGGCGGTCAAAGAAACCTAGGATCAGTTGAGCATTGGTAATGTGCAGTCTTTTCAAGTACGTTGAAGTGAATACCCAGGGAAGAAGCTGCAGAGGTTCGCTGTGATTGCCTATCTTGACAGTCTGAGCCTTGTACTGTAACGCATGGCGGATCCATAGGTTGGCTTCATCAGAGTTAGCACTGAGGCGGCCGACCCCGACCACCAAGCTGTACTGCAGCCGGAACTCCTTCAGGTCTACGCGTTCACGGAGAATCAGCAAATGGTTCACAAACGTCTTGAACATCTCCTCGCGCTCCAAGTCGTCTGCAGCAGCCCTGTCCTCAAATTCCTCGAAAGACACGTCGATGCAGGTCACCGACCGCCAGAGGTATCGCCAGCGCCGTGCCAGCACGCATGTCTGCACAGCTTTGCGTGAGCGCAGGTGGGAGAGAACATGGATGAGGAGCTCGTCCGGGAGGGCGCTGATCCTGTCTTCCATGCTCCCGTCGCCCGACGCCTCCGCCATGGGGTCAGAGCTCAGAGGCGTTTCGTCGAACAGGTGGTGTGCAGGGGGCTGCAGCAACGAAAATGAAGAAATACAAGCCGTGAATCCGCAGCTCGGGACAAGATTTGGGACGGCAGGAAGAAGACGAACGCAGAGAAACAAATTCAGAGAGGAAATGTCGAGAGAATCAACGAGGAGAGGCGAGAGGGATCCAGAGCATACCTCCGGTGGTGCGCGAGGGCGCTCAACTCCGTCCACCCCACAGCCGGGTGGAGGCAAATGCACCGCCACAGCCTTGATGAGTAAGCATCCAGTCTTTATTTCGAAAGAGAGTAACCACCGGTCTAAAATGTGACCACCACCGAGTAAAGTGAAAAGAATACCGTAGAGTTTCGGTAATCCATTTCTGAGCTCAGACTCAGCTGCACCTGCTCTAACGAAAAAAATCAAAATAAATATTAGAAAATTTTGAAAAATTCCATTTTTTTTGTGTGTGATAGATAATTTGATGCGTGAGGTCCGCTCTAATTTCCAAATTATTTAGACATCTGAGCAGCTCTCGGCAAAAAAGACAAATTTGAGGTCCGTAAAAATATATACTGTTCATGCGCTATTCTGACCCGATTTGTCTTTTTTGCTAAGAGCTTCTCAGAAATCCAAATGACCTAAAATTTGGAGCGGACCTCACGTGATAAATTGTCTACCATGCAAAAAAAGCAATTTTTTGAATTTGTTTGTGATTTTTTTTTCTGAGCAGGTGTAGATGGGGCTGGGCACCGAAACACTGCACTCGTAGAGTTTCCGTTTTTCTAGAGAAGTTATTTTCTTTCAAAAGGGCCCAAGGCGGTATGATAAAAAACATAAGTCCTTACAAACTCATCCATACAAAAGTGTAAAGTAGCATTTCAATTCTTGGGGAGCCTAAGTCTTTTTTTTTCTCATGCATCCATCGACTTCACGTCGTGAGCATAGCTCGATGCCATCTCTGGCCTCTGCCTCGGCGAAGCAAACTCTTTTGAAGCCACGAGCTTGTAAAAGCAGTTTTCAGAAAGTCGTTGATGTAGACCGACGATCACTATCCATGAATCAAATTGCCGCCCTGAAGAAGAAAACGCCGAGAAAGGCATGTAGAAACTCCAAAATTCATTAAATTCGGATGAATCTAGACATATCCACCGAAAACCAAAATCGGTCGGACCCCGAAAGACCCACCAAAGACACAACTCCACACGCCCTTTGTTGGCGAATCATCCCACAAGTAAACTATAAATCAACTATACTAATTCACATAGGTTTCGGATTACCAGATTTTCTAAGTGATTTGGTGATTTCTGAGCAATCGACGCATGTATTTCCTCTAAAATCTGGTGTACAACTTAACTCCAATCGTGCAACGCTCCACCATCTATGATGCAGCGTGCCATGGCTTCACTGCCTATGGTGCAATGTGCAATGGCTCCACTGATGTATTCATCAATAAAAAGTTCTCTTTCTTTCCCCATCAAGGTTTCCCACCTCGCCTCTAGACCTCACCATTGTTTCACGCGTGTGTCTCCCAAATCCCAGCGGCACCCACACACATCCTCCTTGACGTCGCAGTCGGCCCGCACCTCACCAGAGCCTTCATCATCAGGCCCCTCCTGGTGGCTCAACAGGCATGCAGTAATTGACGGTTGCATGAGGTAATTCATGCCTAGAATTTGAGTGTAATTTATCCTGAAATTTGGAATCCCGACACTGAGCATGCATTTTCACCAAGAGTGAACAAAGAAATTGTAGTTTATATTCCAAGAGGTAGCCCATTTTATATACTACTGAATGTATAAAAAGGAAGAAAAGAGAAAAAAGAAAGAAATCCTAGCTATGTGCTCCTTAGCTCCTATGTAAAGAATAAAGCGGGGGGAGAAGCGGTCTGACTATGTCGAGGCCGCGTTCCCCAGATGTGGTGGTGCGACAACCGTGGTCTGTGGGGGTGGTTGCTCTGAGCAGCTTGGGCCGCGGGGTGGCTAGGTCGTGCGACATTTCTG